CCCCAAAACCCCAAAACCCCAAAACCCCAAAACCCCACAGGCTTAGAGCAAGATTGAAATTATGTAAGCCTGGGTTTAGGAAGGAAGGTTTGGGAAGGAATAGAGGTGAGAGGGTTGGGAGATGGAGGAAGATTGGGGGTTAAGGAAGATGGGAGGTGGGGTAGGGAGTTGGAGTGTAGCAGAGATTGGGGTTTTGGGGTGTGGTTTAGTTATTGGGGATTGATTTTGTAGAGATTTTTAGAGGTTTTTTGGGGATTTGTGTTATTGTGCAACAATAGACTTTAGATATGACTCTTCGATCAAACTTGGTATTGAAGATCTAGGCCTTTATGAGTTTTTGAATCTGAGCTTCATTGCTTTGTCACTCAATGAAAAGCCAAAAAATTAATTATATATTATCAGTGGCTGTATTCTGAATTAATAAAGTCATTGTTACAATGTCTCCTAACTCTAATCCATTTTCTTTATTTTCATTTTTATCTTTTAGTGGATGAGCCTATGAGGTTAGATATCTGATACAACAGTATTGATATAGGATTCTTTAAAACAATCTGCTTTGTATTTGAACATGTGTTCTCAATCTAAATTCCAGCTCTTCGCAATTTTTGAAGACTTAAGATTATCTTTGTTTTGCATTTTTTATTATGGTTAATTTGAATATTTTCTTCTTATATAATCCACGTATGATCAGTTACTTAGCCAAGAGCATGTTGTTATTCAAAATATCATTTATCTGATATCATAATGAAGTTTGGCTTAAGCTTTTGAAAAATTTAGCATTATTTTCATAAACTGAGCAAAATATCTTTATTCTTTGAAGCATAGCAATTTATAACTTGTGATCGTTAGGTGAGAATATAGCCTTTAGCCAAGAGCTCATTCAAGAATTGCTTCATACTTTAGCGAAGCTAACTGTAATACCAATAGCCTTCTATAATTATTATTGTTTTATTTTTCAGCACTCTGGTTATTTTTCATTGTTCTCATAATTATTGTTAACCTATCCTGGGTTAGCCTTCAGTTTATTCCTTGGTCTTCATAGGAATGGATTTTATTGGGACTTATTAAGCTTTCTTCAGTAGAGGGAGATCAGATATAGATCAATTTATTATTTAAAACGTTATTCATGCTTCTGAGTCTTCTTTTCTGCTAAAATATTAACAATTCTTAATATTTAAGCAAAATGTCAGATTTCGTTTATCGAATGAGATCAGATGCGGCATTATATCAGCTGGATGGGTTAGAAGCCTTCCTTTCTCAATACAAACAGCATATACTTATGATGTTCATTGGCTCATCAGTTTTTTGCAAACATTTTCTGGAAATCTCTTTAAAGAAAATTTTCTGAAATTTTCAGCAAAAACTAAGATATGTTTGGATGAAAGAAGAGTGATGTCTTATAGAAAGAGCTTGAGGATATCATCCTGAGCATATGAGGGGTATGACTTACTAGAGAGACACTATTTGTACATAATTGGGAAATTTTGGTTGATATATGAAGAACTTTGGAATCTCTAATCAGGATTTTGTTGTGACGCTGGTTTTAAGGAAATATCTTTGCTAAAATTCTTGGTTAAAATCAGTGTATCCAACATAATTTTGTTCTCCCTGGCAATGCTCGAGCGATTCCTTTACAATATTTATAAATAAAATATCAACTTAAAACTTTTCTTCTAAAGGCGATTCCATTTAGAGCTGTTATTAAGGAGAAAATGAGCAAAAACTATTTCACTTATCAATTATTCCTTATTTTAGCATATCTTTGGAATTGTAATTTTATAAAAGAATCGATATAGAGAGATTTTTAAACTTTAAGCTTCATATTTCTTTCAAATGAGAGCTATAAAGTATATTTGTGTTATAACAAGTTCATTTGAACTATAATTATTCCAAATTCAAATTTGGATACCTTTGTTTTAGAAAATTTGAAGGAAAACTAAGCAAGAGCCGCTTCTTTTAGATACCTTGAAACAATTTCCTGAAAGAGATGTTTGAACAATCAATAATGGATCCTCAGAAGTATTCTAAATAATCTTTCCCTAAGGGATTAAATCAAATCAGGATCATTTTTGAAAATCTTCTAAATTTTAAAGTTAAGTTTAAAACAAAGATGGAGGAATGATTTACCATCAGCCGCCTATAACTTTCCCATATGAGTCCAAACATCTTGACATTCTATCTGGCTTAGTGCTAGAGAGACACTTCGGTGAAGAGTGGGGTTCTTTGGGAACAAGAGGAGTCTGGATGGGTTAGGTGATGGATGGTGATGGACGAGGGAGGTAATTGCAACAGTGTAGAGGGATTGGTGAGTTCTGATAATAAAAATTCTGTGATTTAACTTAAATATTATAACATAGTGAGCACATTTGTTTTTTAAAATTACTGACAGATTTTTTTCATGTAATTAGTTGTCTGTTGCCAATATTGCCAATAAAAACCCTTATCAAATTTGTATAGTTCTATTGATAAAATTTTCAATATTTTTACATGAATATGGGGTTTTGGGGTTTTGGGGTTTTGGGGTTTTGGGG